GCAGTCTTGCTACTGTTGCCCTTTGCCATATAGTACGAAATTCCCAGTTTTTCAATAAATATAATGGGAAATAACATTTGACAGTTAAAATTATTCGAATCTAGATGTCATTAAGAATGAGTCGAGAAGGAAACGAGGCCCCCACTGAGGTGAAGCCCTGGGCCCGGGCCCAGTATGCCCATGCTTTAAAACGCCCTTGCTAGCAGCTTATTAACAAAACTTTGACTAAATTGTGAAATATAACTGAATTTTTGAAAAATTAATCTTCAGGATTGTTTTTCAGAGAAATTAATATTTAGTTTTAAGCATAATTTAAAATGTTAGTAAAAACTATATTATATAGGGTGAATCACAAAAGTCTTGCCCTTTTAAATATTTATTGTGCTCAGAATATTTTTATTAGATATATTTTTGTTCGCTGTATTGTAAATATTATTAAGAATTATTTTATACATGTTCCTACTTGGTAGCTCGATAAGTTTTAAGAGGTATTTCATTTACTGTCAAGTATTCTTTAACATGTTTTGCCTTTATAAGCCTGTAACCTAGGCATTTTACATTTCATGAAGAATTCTTTCCAAACATTTGTGATATTTGCAGTTCACGTGTTTTACAAGTTGGTTTAGGACTCCGATGAAACGAATGCCCTAACGTTTACAGTAGTTACTTCACTCACACTAGGCCTGCCACTTCCCGGAAGATACTTAGCGCAGCCTATTTCTTTAAGCATTTCATACCATCACTTTATTGGTTTTACACCAGTAGGTTCACTTCCATGACAACGTAGAAATTTATATGGAACATTAATGGCAATTTCATTTTGTGAAACCAAAGCATACATTAAGCTTTCTCTTGAATCGATGCCATTTCACCAAAAAATTATGTCTTTCTTACAAATGTTCCCCAAATCACTCTTGAAGGAGCATCTGCCCCATATACTGCCCCCCTCAAAATACTAAAAGGGACCTATCGAATGATAAACAGTTACATTGTTTTTTATATTAAATGGTTATTTTGTAAGGAATTCCTGTAATCAGGTTAAGACTTTGGGTTCACCCTTAATATTGAGGTAGATGTGGATGGAGATTGATAATTTGAAGATATTTGCAATATTTTTATCTTAAAGAAATAACAGTCACTTGTGAATTGTCATTTAAAAATTGAAAGAATTTTATTCAGAAAATACAGGAAAATAGAAGTGGGGAGGAGGAAAGTTTTAAGCAAAAGTGATATATTGTGTCGTGAGAATTGATAATGTATATAAATAATAATTTCCTCATGTTTTTTGTAGAACAACTTACTGTTGAATAAAGTTTCATATTTATTTTTTAGATTAATATTTATTGTATGCAAAAAATAAATAAAGAAAGAAATAAACATTAACACAAGAATTAATTTCAGGCAAATAAATAAATATATTTTTAAAAGTATATTTAATTCACATAAAGAGAAAATTTTAAATTTCTTTTCAATGAATTATTTCATTAATGTCCCTCTTTATCTTATAATCATATTCCTAAAATAAATGTGAAATTTTCCTTCATTTAGATCCTAAATGACAAAAAACAAGCTTACGGTTTTGTTGCATGTCATCTTGCTCCAGTTTCAGAAGAAGTTGGATTATTTTTTTTCTGAAAGACACGTCTTGGGAAATCTGAAATATTACAAATAAGTATGTTATCAACTTTATTTATGCAACACCAAAAATTAAAATTATTTAAAATACTAAATGGAAGAATTATTTTACAAACTATCATATAATGTCTTAGTAAATTCGAATAACAATTTGTAGATTTACACCGAGAAAAACTGTTTTTAACTACCCATTAAAGGACATGAAACCCCAAAAAAGGTATCGTCCTGCCATCTGTATTGATTTTTATGCGTTTTAGCTTCAATTAACGCATGTGGATAGACTAAATATCCATCAACCGCTTGGAGAAAATTTTTTTTAATATGTGGCTAGACCTATTAGTGCACTGCCCGCTAAAGGGTTAAGAAGATTAAATCTAGCAATGATTAGCTTATTATTCTTTGATAATAATCCATTATTATTATTATAATTTAATAATATTATTATATTATACATAATTATTTATTAATTACATGTAATTATTTATCATTGTTTGATAGTACTTTTCTTAACTTCCGATTAAAAGTTACGCGATTCGCTCCCCAGTGCCACCATTTTTCACATAGGCACGCGTGTACGATGTATTGGAGGAAAAGAAAATGATACAAAAAGGATTTTTTTTTAAATAACTAAATCTTTCGCAAACATTGTCAGGGTCATTTTAATTCATTCCAAAGCCTTTGGAATAGTTTTATTGATCGTAGCCAAAGAAAAGAATCGTATTTCGGATGGACGTATATATCCGTCGATGGTATTTAACACACTAGTGAAGGAGACGGATATATAGGCCGGACACAGTTAGGGTTAAAAAGCAGTCTTTCGTCAGTAATGTTTATGAATACTGCTGCATCTATGTCATTTTTGCTACCAAAATTTCAATTCTCTATTTATTCCTTAGTATTCAAATCATTTACACACAAACACACGCTATAAGAATGCCTAGCTTAGAATCACTTTACTCATTGTGAACCCTGCTGTAGTGCTGTTAGTAATTTGAGCAATATATTTGAATTAGTACTGATTCATTCAACTTTATGAGGGTTGGAAAGAGGCTTCACTTCAAAATATTCAAGCTAAAATATTTACAATAAAATATTGCCAAAATGCATAGTGCTCATTAGCCAGGATCCATTGTGATGATTAATAAAAGTGGAAAAAATAGTGCTAAAAAGATATGGCTAATTTTGTAGTAAAAAAAAAGTTTTCCTTTTCATGTCATAAACACTAAGCAATGAATGCCTTCCATTATTTTTACTTTTCACTCTTATTATTTTTCAATCAATTTCTTGGTAAATTTACAAACACTTTTGCTTTAACAAATTTGACAGGAATGTATCAGTTCTTTTCTAACACAAATAATGTTTCACTCAGTGCAGATTCAGTACTTAACTGTAACTATTAACTGTAATAAGTGAGGTAGTCCTGCATATATTATGTGTGTGCCTGCGCATAGTGTGCGTGTATGTGTCGTCTACAAAATAAGATCATTTTGAAATTGACAATAACAAAATCCAAATCTTTCTAAAATGAACACATTATTTGAAATTTTCGTGGAACTTTTCACAATTTCTGGAAACATTTCCAAGCCTCATTTGAATGAAAAATGTCGGAAAATGTAACGGGTAACAAGCTTTTATGTACCGCCCTAAGCAGATATTCTTTTCATTTAGATAAATAGACTTTCCTTATTTTTAAAAATTAAGTTCATCAAATCATTTGCATTGAATAGTCATTTTGAAATATTTTAAGCTCTTTTTTTAAAATTTTTGTAAAAAAAAAAAAAAAAAAAAACCGATTTTATATAAATTGGGTTTTTTAAGTTTCCCTTTCAAAAGTTGTTTTTCGAAGGTACTTGTATTAAAAAAAATATAGAAAAATTTTCCGACAATACATTTTAACCCTTTGTTTTGTTAAAAAAAAATGAAAGGGAAAAAAAAAAATTGACGGGAGTCAAATATTAATATATATATATATATATATATATATATATATATATATAATTTACTTATCACATTTATGCAACAAAATTTTCCATAATTCTTAAATAATGCATTTGAGAACAAATTCTGTTATTTCAGGAATGTCTGCCCTTTATTAAAATAAATATAAGAATGTAACAAAAAAAATAGGATGTGTTAATAAGCTATCATTCATTCTTTAAAATATTCGGAAATTGTAAAATAAATGTTAAATTATTAAAAGTATGTTGCGCTCCATTTTATATAAACTTATAAATATATGTAATAACGATAAAACATAAAAAATGTAAACGTTAATTCTTCAAATACCACAAATAATCTTTAAGTGCAATGTTATAAATTCGCTTTTAGCAAAGGTAAATAACAATAAGTAGATAAATATTTAGCAAAAGGGACCCATCTGCATAAAACTGCCTTTAGCAAGCTAAATTTACACTTTTGCACAAAGTTTCTATGTTTCCACATTCGTCTCAAGTACCTGTTAGTATTTTTAATGAGTAAGGAATTGCACGAAACACAACTTGTCCAAAAATCCCAATGTTTGCTAAATCAGAAAAGTTTTTTTTAGCGCGAAGGTTTCGCCTCCAAAGCTACTATCAATGATCTGAAATCCGAATTCTAGAGTTTTCCCGCGTGGGAGAGGATTTAATTCTAAATTAAGCAAATCTACAACTGGATCTCTCGTCTTCCGGTGTGGCTGAGAGCAACAGGCTAAATTATGATTTAAATGACTGCAACTCACAAAGCATATTGCTTCTCTCTCTCGTGTGTCATGATTTGTTTTGATGAGGTTTCGCTAAATGTTTTAATGCAATTTTAACCATTTTTGAAAAAAAAAATCATGCATGAACTGTTTACATAACATTTAACATTGTAAATAGTTTATATATTGTTAGATTATTTACACATAGACATTATGAAATAATTTGTTTTAAAAAAATATTTGACTTTAAAAAGAGAGATATTTATTTAATTAATAGTACTATTTAGCAAGATATTCAAAGAAATATTTTATAAAATATTTATTTCAAAACCACTAATGTAAAATTCACTGCTCAAAGCTATAGAAATATAGCTATATAATAATTAACAAGTAATACAAAAAAAAAAAAAAATTTTTTTTAAAGTTAATTCCTACTTAGGTCAACAAAGAAAATATTTTATTTCAGTTACTTTTGTATTAAATAACTACAATTAATATAAATATGTATATACATATGACAGAATCACAATATTAAGTGGCAAAAAAGAAAGCGAATTTTCCATTTTCCTTTTTATATAGTGTGTTGGACTATTATTTCTGTTTGTTGCTATTTATTCATTAATTAAATTTAATTGTTCCAGTAAAATAGTATAGTCAAAAGAAATCACATTCTTAGAAATTAGGCCATCCCAGAGGGAATCTGAACCCACGACCTTTAGATCAGAAGTCTAACGCGCTATCCATTACGCTACAGAGACACAGCGAGTGTTTTTCCTTTTTCATATATGATGTTGGACTACTATTTTTGTTACTATTTATTCATTAATTAAAGTTAATTAATGAATTAATATTAGAAAAAACTGTATTAACATCAAGTGTCATCCTCTACAACTTAAAAAAAATATTTGAACTTGAGTGGATGAATAAAAAGTATTTTAACGATCGAAAGTTTGAACAAGATATATATGCATATAAATAAATATATATAGGGAGAGGGTAAACTAATAGTAAGATGTGAAAAAAAATGAATGTTTTAAATTTAATTTATTTGACTTATACTACTAGAGTAAAAAAGTTCCCGGAATGGTCCCCTACATTCACGCAGGTGTCCATTAGAGGGGAAATATCTGTTTAGGGGGTTGGCAGCACTAATAAGGAAAACACACTGATATCTGGAATTCATTTCCTGTTCTAATTGGCATTAAAGTAAAGCAATAAATAGATTTATAAAAAACACTATAGGCCAAAAATAAGATAGCCTCAATAGCATACAGAAAAGCCTTAAGAACTAAGATCGACGAGCAGTATGATTTTTTGTAATTCACACTATTAATGACTTCACCGAGCAGGTTATCTTGGATTTACTTCACTGTAGATGAAGAAGATGTTGGATTGATGAGGAATCATTTTGTTGATTGATAATCCATTTTTATTTTATAGGTAGGAGACAACACACACACAGATAAGCAGCTACACACAAAAGAAAAAACAGGACAGGAACTAGCTCGACCATAACAAAAAGTGGCAAGAATTTTCTCCAAATTTTTGGATTATATACAAAACACTAGCCGGAAGTTTCAAAAATCCTATGACTTTGGAGAAAATCTCCTCTGATTGGTCACAAGATATCGAATGAGGCACAATACATAACAACTAATCTAAAAGTGACTACCACATAATTTTGAAGTGTTAAAGTTACGTTAATTCCCGTTAAATGGGTAAACTAGTAGTTAATTAATTACGCGAAGTCCTGAAGGGCTTGGGACCATGACACATTAAAAAGCCCTCAAGAGAAAACTAATGTGAATCACACACACACACACACACACACACACACACACACACACACACACACACACACACACACACACACACACACACACACACACACACACACACACACACACACACACACACACACACACACACACACACACACACACACACACACACACACACACACACACACACACACACACACACACACACACACACACACACACACACACACACACACACACACACACACACACACACACACACACCCCACCACACACACACACACAACCCCTTTTTCCACATAAAATTTCATTAAAAAATAACTTAATTGAAAAACTACCCTTAGTTTTCAGCACAAAGCATTCATTATAATATACAGAACAACAAATCATTCATTATAATACAAAGGACAAATTCAAAAATTTTCATAAGAATAGTTCAATTACTTTAAGAGATATCACTGTTACCGTGAGTCATTTTACATTAGAAAATAACATTCTTCAAAAAATGCAAAATAAAGTTAATATTTGCAATAAAACTTTTTAAAGACTGAGGAAGGTATTAATACTCTCCAGATTTTTACGTGGTGTCTTCCTGAGAACCTCATACTTTAAACTTTTACATTATTGTAATATGTAAAAGTTTTTCTATGAGACAGTTTCTTATTTGATGCAGAATGCCTCGTTGAATAAACCTCATTTCGTCGAGGTATTAAAAAAATTTCCCTTCATTTCAGGCCTTAACTCCATTCCTAAGTTTTGAAGTAGTGGTAATAGACCAACAAACCCAGAATTAAAAAAGTATTATTGCAAAATAAATCCCTAAGAGGAATGTTTGTAGCTCAACAAAGGTTTTTTTTTATTATACTATACACGGCATTATTAAGACTTACTGACTATTTGAGTTTTCCCGTAAATACATTTTCTTTGGAGATTTTTATCGCAAATATCCATATAAGTCTTTTTAATAGAATTAATAACTGAATTCGGAAGATCCGTGGATTTTTCTTTCAAGGTATCTCCAACGAATTTTGTTCTCTGAAAATCTCTTATTTTTGGCGTGTCAACTTTAATTTAATAAAAAATAACTATGTATAAAAGTACTAATAATAAAAGATATCAAGAGCTCTAATTTTGAACGCAAATGATTAAAAGATAGCAATTCGTTTAAATTAAAATAAATATTGCAATCAGTTAACTGTTGCATATTTGTAAGCAAAATATATCTATTAAAACATTTCTAAAGTGAAATAAAATTTACTAAACATGAAAATAATTTGTTAAAATATTTTAAATGAATAAAAATCGTACTTTTCGAGTGAAAATCAACCGAAAACTCACACTTCCGGTTTCGGATTTAAATTTCCGGTTCCGATCTGGGCTTACTACCCCAAATAAAAACAATTGTAACTTTTTTTCTAATCGACTCAGAGTTAGAAGTAAGATATTTTTAGAAAGTTAATTAATCAGGCTAGAAAAATAGACTAAAAATGAATTTCAATTTTTTTTTTCATGAAAAGGATGATTTTAAACCACAGTCGGATACCTGAAAATAAATGCAGCTTCTTAATATATAATATTTTATTTGAAACTACCCGGAGCCCTCATCCTTTGTAGGGGGAAATTTTAAACAAAACTTATCGACCTCTCTACCTAGTTTGCAGGTTTTTTACTAACCTAATACAGTTTACTATCATTATAATTACTCAACTAATTTTATGGGGAGGTATAAAAGCTTAATTCTTTACGGTAAAATGTTTCTGTTCTCATATTTGTCATTTACAGGCATTTATTTATTTCAATTTTTTCCCTTACACATCCTTAAAAAAGAAATAAGCTGGTTTTAAATTAAAAACATTAAGTTTTGTACTGAATATATTTGTTTCCAATTCAAACATTTTTTTCTCAGGAAAGATTGAAAAGAAAATTCTTTAAATTCTCATTAAATTTTAGTAATGGAATGAGGAATTTACAATTTCTATTCATGATCGCTAGCTTCATCATTTTATAAATTTTTCAATAATTGTGCCTACTTAGTAATTTGCTAATAACCGGATAGTGGTACTCCGGTACTAAATTTTGTGCATTTCATTAAAAAAAAGAGTCAAAATTTTCAAATGTGAAAACAAGTTAATTACTTTCGTTATAACAATGCTGATATTGAAAAATTACGGGTGCTAATTAATTCAATCAAGTAGTTGACTTAATTGAGCAAAATGAAAAACAATATAAATAAGTTCCATAACTTCTTGATTTTATTGTAATAATCTCTCGCGATTGGGAAAAAGAATATTTAGCAGTAATAATATTTAAAAATCTATTTATTGTATTAAATCAATTATCAATTTAGATTAGAAAACTGTTAGAATTATGGATATACTATTAAAAGAAGATATCAAAAAAGAAATCTATCGAAAATTATCGTTAAATAAAATCCTCTTTGCTCCTACAGTTTAAAAGAAAACTGGGTAAAAATGTATGAATTTTTTGAATTTATAAGCATTAACAAACGAAAATAAAAATGTTTGAGGAATCAGTTAAATATTTTATAAACAAAAAAACTAAAAATTTTTATTCTAGAATTCTTACGAAATTGAGTCAAGAAGGAATCATAAAAAAACAGCAAAAAAGAAATAATATTAAATAAATTATTTAAAACTAAAATAAGCAATGCATGTAACAAGGAAAGTGCTTGCAGATCATCTCCTGATGTCAGAAATGACAGTTTTAAATTATAACTATTCAGTTTCAGGTGAATGGTTTTCCTTTTTTATTTTTGGAGCTCACTGCTTAAGTTATTTGGTAGATCAAAGCTTTTTGGAGTAAAATTTCCTTTGTAATGTATAAATTAAATAAAAAAAGAATACTATATATATATTATTTATATATAAAATTTTTAAAGAAATGATAAAAGGGGGTTTTTGATCAGATCGGAACTTTTCATAAAAGAAATAATATTTTAAAACAGTTTAAAATATTTATCTATAAATCGTGCCTTATAAATTTAGAGTAAGTAATACAATAGTCATTGCAAAACAAATTATTTTTCGAAACTAATTTAAAAAAAGAAATAGATACACTTTGCTGGTATTTTTTTAAAAAAATTTTTAAAAAAATTTTTAAACATTTTTTTATGAAAAATAACTAAATTTAAAAATTAAAAGTTTTGTTTTTTGAATCTCGAGATATAAAATACGTTACTTTTTTTACAAGGAAATCTTTTAGTTTTACATTGTAATTTGGATTGCACTCAAGAACACTTCATAAATCCTTGATCTCAAAATAAGGATAAATTTTCTGCAAAATCATGCGAAGATTAATATTGGAACTTTTTAAATGTTTTTTTGTTTGAAAACTTTTTATAGAATCTCTTGATTCAACTAAATCCAATTGGGGGATAAATTATTTTTTAAAATTTTAAAACGTCCCTCCATGCTATTTACATCTAATAGACCTCTATGTCCCTTCGGCACATGCAAAAAAATTGTGGAGTTCACTAACAAATCTTTAAACTTCTTTCATTTTTAACACGCTTTTATAAGCTTCACATATATGTAACGGAATCTTTGAACTCGATTTTTAATCGCTTTAAAAATCAAAATTAATTCGAAATTTTCCCCTTTCAAAAAGGGCCAATGACAATCAATAATTTAATAATTTATTCCTTTTCCTGATCGGATCATTAGGATTAACGATTTCCCATTTCAGATTTCCTACTAATTCAGATCCCTTTCAGTTTGGGGGTTAATTAGTTTTGATGACTACCAAACAGCTGAGAAGTGATTCAGAGGTCACAGGATTAAATAATTTCTCACTAACTCTTCGATTCAAAATTTTTTTTTATGTCTAATGCTGTGATGTAAGTTTTAGAAAGAATTTTGAGCTCTTTTTAGAGAAAAATATTGTGATTTTACACCTTCTTCCGTATTAAATATTTCTCACTGAGCTCTTCCAGATTTTCTTCAGTTAGCTGATCCTAC